TCGTGTTAGGATCAATATATTTAACTGTTATTAAACTAACTGTTATATTTGATCCCTAGGTTCGAAAAAAATAAATTTGAGTACTCTGTATTTAAAATAAACTCACATTTTTTCAACACAAACTTTACAAAGATATTTTAGAATTTTTGACTTTTTACAACAATTACAATTATTTTTCACATATGAATATTTTTAAAAATGTGAAATCATTTAAATATTTATACAATAAAAATCACATTTCATTGACTTCCTAACATCCTTCCACCTGAGCAGTTTTGAATTGTTTCTTACGATTCAAAAATAGTAAAACATAACCAAAGGAACTCTCTTTATTCTTCAAACTCCAGAGTTCCATTTTTTTTTTTCTCTTTTTTGAATGTTTCTTTTTTTTACGAGTACCTTTTTTAACCCATTCTATTTCATATGAAGGAGACTCGCTGTTTTTATTTGTAGCGGTTCTCTCAATGAAAATTGGTTTGGTCGGTAGTGAGGGACCATGCAGTTCTGGAGCAACAGCCATATGAGCAGCAGCTGATGAATTTTGAATATCATTTACATTTTTCATTTTTTTTTTTTATTATTATTTTAATGGAATTTACAACTGTATTACATAGAAAATACAATAAGTAAATGTGAAATTGGTAACATGACATGTACAACATGAAGAGAAACTACCCATTGGTAGAACTCAAATTAAAGTTCTACATTAGAAGATCCCGAGGCTATCTTCTTTTCAGACGCCTCGGAGGGTTATCAGGGATCGAGGAGGAATTATTTATTTATTTATTGGGTTGGTGAATAAGTCCAATCGGTTTTTCATGGTAAAATAAAACTCAATGTTCTATAGACATAAAATTTATTTTAATATACATTATAATGACCATTATTTAATATGACTTTTCCCATCTTTCCACTAACTTAGATGTTACTATATCCGTTGGAAAGCTGAATTATTGGTCTTCAAAGCCGTGTTTAGCTAGAATGTTTTTTTTTAAATTTAATGCCAACATGAGGAATAAATAAACAAAAATTCCATAATTATATGAAAGATTACTAAATTCTCTACAAAAGGGAGAAGAAAAAAATCATCGAAATCGGACAATTTTTATCAATGATTCAGCTTATTGAAATTTGTAAACATGTTGGATCCAAACATTAATGAACATTTTTTTTTTTTTTTTTTTTTTTTTTTTATTATTTCAATGGAATTTACAACTGTATTACATAGAGAATACAATAAGTAAATGAGAAATTTGTAACATGGCATGTACAACATGAAGAGAAACTACCCATTGGTAGAACTCAAATTAAAGTTCTATATTAGAAGATCCCGAGGCCATCTTCTTTTCAGACGCCTCGGAGGGTTATCAGGGATCGAGGACGAAGCAAGGTTTGAAACGAGAGGATTCGGATGGTTCTGCAGTTTGTTATGGAAGGACAGGTATCTGGATTGGGCCAAATCGGAAACATATGGAACATTAAGGTCTTTATGGATGATTTTATTTGTGACAAAGTAAGGAGCGTTGAGGATTTTACGAAGGATTTTGGATTGTAAGGATTGGATACGAGAGGAATTCGATGGTTTAGTGGAGCCCCAAAGCTCAATTCCGTAAGTCCAAATAGGTCTTATTATTGTCATATATACGAGTCGTTTATAATTGATTGAAAGCTTAGATCGTTTGTCTAGTAAGTGCTGCAGTAGTAAAAAACGTCGGGCGGTTTCTAGTCGTTTCAGTCTGGTGTGGGGGTACATTTTTCATTTTAATGGCATAACTTTTATCCTGCTTTTCTTTCACTAATACAGGGGGCAATTTCTCAGTTTGATTATTTTTTTGAGCATCGTTTGCTCCTATGATTATAAAGCTGAGATATTTTTCAAATCTTTACATGTTTTTCATGATCACCGATGAATGGTCTAAAACCTAACTCATCAGAACTTTAGTTTTCTTCAGTCTGTGTTTCTTCATTAAGATCAAGTTTGCATTCCTTTCGATGGTCAGGCAAATGATAAAATGTTCACTCGGTCAGAAGAATTAACTAAATGTTCTCCTCTCACTGTATTGTGGTCATTTTCCACATTTTCAGGACCAAATTCTTGAGTTCAAAAAATTCTTTGAGAAATATTTGGATCAAAGTCAGGTTGCAGTTTAGGAAATGCATAATATTTCTTTCCGAGACTTTGGATTTTAGCTGGCTTAACTCCTGCAATGCAATTGTAATTTTAAATCACTGGGAGCACCTCTTTTTCTTTTTTTCCTCCTAGCCTTCTTCAAACTAGCACATTCTTGCAAAAAAAAATTCATATCTGGACATATCATTTTTAGCATAAATCTCTTCATCTTCATCCTCAACTACCATAATGCTACCTTCCTAAGCATCATCTTTAGTATGTCTTTATCTCCATCCTCAAATACTATAATGCTATCATCATCCTTAAACATTCTAATGTTATCTTCCTTAGCACATATATCTTTATCATCATCCTTAAATGTTCTAATGCTATCTTCCCTAGCATCATCTTTATCATATATTTTCCCTTCTTCATTTTCAAATACTCCAACACCATAAACCTGGCCACGGATTGATGATGTATTTTTATTTTCACAAACTTTCAAAAGAGAATCAAACAAACTAAACCTTTTATCGAAAACAGACTTAGAACTATGTTGATCGTTAATTCCAATGGAAATTTTATCAGCAACACTCTGGTACTTAATTTTAACAATCTCTTACATTTTCCTGTATGTTTCGTCCACTTCCAGTTCTGACATTATTTCTTCCTCGGCTACATCATTTTCTATTGAAATATCAAATGTTTCCTACTCCATTGATTCTAAAATCTCTGACTTCTTCTTCAGAAGCTCTGAGCAAGCGGATATTTCTACCAAATTAAGAATATCACTACTGAGCAACTGTTCTAACTCATTAGCGTGCCTCTTATCTTTAAGTTTTCTTAAACGCGGCAGATCCTTCTTTGAATTTTCTTACTTTCCATTTTGAACTCAGTCAAACCAGAAAATAGAGTACTCAACCGGTCCTGTCACGGTCGCCACAATGTTTGGGTTAGGAGTCAATATATAACTAACCGTTATATTTGATCCCTAGGTTCGAAAAAAATAAAGTTGAGTACTCTGAAATTGAAATAAACTAACTTTTATTTAAACACAAACTTTACAAAGAGATTTTAGAATTTTAGACCTTTTACAACAATTACAATTACTTTTCACATACGAATATTTTTAACAATGTGAAAACATTTAAGTATTTTTATAATAAAAATCACTTTTCATTGACTTCCTAACACTTGTAATCCATATACAAGACTGAAACGACAAGAAACTGTAAGATGTTTCCGACTACTTCAACACCTACTTGACAAATCCACTTGTTCCTAACCTTGCATTCTCTTATATTTATGACAATCCTTCTAGACGTTTCAAAAGAAAATAGTCTAACATAGAACTATATTTTGAGTGCTACCAATGGGTAGCTTCTCTTCAAGTCCGTACCTGTTGTATTACTAATTTCACATTTACATTTAAACAGTCATTCTTGATTAGGGATTTAAATACATGTTCAACTAAAATATTTTATAAGTTTACATTTAGTCAGCAAATTTCATTTAATTTCCTTTAAAACATGTGATTTACGTTAAATATTATTAGTAGTATGGTTGTACATTTGAAGAAATAAATAATATTTTAAAAAACATGGTCCGAAAATTTGTTAAAAAAGCAAAATATCAAATACATTCTGGTTATTTATTCGATGCCCAAGTTTCGGCCCATATTATAGGTCATTAGAGTTATCAAAATCATTAGCGCTGTTTTAGAGAACATACACACACACGCACGCGCACGCGCACGCGCACACACACACACACACACACCCACGCACGCACGCACGCACGCACGCACGCACGCACGCACGCACGCACGCACGCACGCCGCGCACACACACACACACACACACACACACACACACACACACAAACACACAAACACACACACACACACACACACACACACACACACACACACACACACACACACATATACCATATTTATATTTGTGCAACTTAAATAAAAAACGAGAAGTCTTACGAAACTGAAATTACTTATTTAAGCTAGAATAACATGTCACTTTGACTATTAACTCGGTTCTTTGACACTACAGGCATACCTATACCTAAGCCTAGCTTAAATAAGTAATTTCAGTTTCGTAAGAATTCTCGTTTTTTATTTAAGTTGCACAAATATACAAAGAGAGACCATTTTGCGAGACTTGATTAGATGGACTGTGAGAAAAACCCGTTCTCTTGTTATAATTATTATTTATATGCCTAAATCCGTTGAAAATTTGGATTTCACCTTCGCAATACTTTCTATTACTAGGTATATATTTCATATACAAATAAGTAAAACTGAAAAATCATAAACAATAATCTTGACTAAACTTACATTATATTCCTATTAATAATAGAAAGTTGTTCTAATTAAAATAAAATAAAAAGTCATCTAATTAATATAAGTAAATTTATTTATTCGCCGAAAATTTGGGGATTAATAGAATTAAGAGGAATATATGTATGTGTGTTTGTGCATTTAGTGACAGATAAAAACAGCATCAGCAAAATATAAATAATTGTTGCGGCGTCTACTTGCACTGCCTAATCTTACTGCGGCCTATAATGATAAAAAGGTAATGAATAAATTATAAAATGTAATTATTTCATATTTTTGGAGTAACTATCTCCAACTAGTTACAAAAAAAAAAATCTTAAATTTAAAATTATGTTTCCTATTTTCCAAATCTCAATATATTTCTGATACTTTATCTGTGTTTATTTTCTAACGTAACTACTTCACGATGGTAGCTAAAAAAAATTTATCTTGGAAATCATTTCATCAAAACCCCGAAAACTGTAGCTGATGGTGATGGATTGAAAAGAATGATGATGAACGCAACAATGAAACAGTCTTCACAAAATGCATATATACCTTTTCCCATGATTGAAAGAGCTCCACCTCTTGAGGGATGGCTTTTTGCCCGACTTCAGGGAAACGGGATGGTCGCTTTCCTCAGTCCTGAAATATTAATAAAAATGAGACCTACCAAATATGATCACTTATAATAAAATATTTAAGCGAACGGACAGCTCTTGAGGCCACAAAAGCAACAACCATTGTCCACACCACAGCAGCACACCAAGGAACTTCCCAACACAATAGGAATTCACAAACAGCCGCACAATGCGTTCAAGTTTGTATCTACGTACGTGATCCTTTTGTCATAATGTTTCGGCTATAGAGTCACTCGTCAAGAATTGCGAATTAAAGAAGATGTATATTAGCCAATGCAAACAAAAATAATAATCTATCTATTATATAAATAAGTTTTTAGTGGCCGTGTAATATTATATTTTACAAATAAAAAAGCAGGACGCACCATAACGAAGATATCAAACTTCTTATTACCAGAATTATTTATCTCTTATTATAGTTACGAATTGGCGATAAGCCGCGATGCATAATATAGATTTTTGAGGATATTAAAAATTTGTCCGAATTGTGGTTTTGTTCCGTTTACTTTATGTTGATAAAAAGTAATGCAATCTGAACTACAGAATACATGTAAATTACAGTTATACAATTTGAGAAACAATTATTAAATGAACAGTTGTATAATTTAAAAAATGGGCATGGAGAACCCCCTAATAATAATAAAAATAAATTTCATTGTTTTTATTTTTCAATATAATAATATCTAATTAGTATGAAACCAGATTTTACTTCTCTTGCATCAATTACCTATTGCGATTCATATCGCAAATTTAGTATAATTAATTAGTTTCGTACTAGATTCTGACATCCTTTCCTTTTCAGTTTATTTAGAAGGCTTCGGATGTCATTCCAATATTATTCAGTAATAGAAACTGCTATATGATTCAGTCAACGAGAGAATACACAACTCCGATCAGTCGGCTGAAACACGATGCTATGTAAATTAAAATTTAAAATTAAATTGCAAAATTTGAAGGTTCGTTTCAACAAAAGAACTGATGGCTGATGAATATGATGAGATATATAGCGTTCTAAGTCACAATTAGCTCAAGTCAAATAGCGTTCGCACTTAAAAAAAACTTCATGTAGTCGGTTTCTAAAACCAAGTTATAAACATGTGTGTATGTTTTCATTTTCAAATTAAAAGAGCATTAAATTTTCTTAAAAGTTCATGAAGAAAAGATGTCCTTAAACTACGACCCGCATGAACCTCTGAACTGATCCGCAAAAGTTTCTTTGATTTTAAACATTTGAAACTATTTAAAACACATGAAATTTAATTTAATATGGAAAGTCACTTAAAAATAAGGTTACTACAACATTTATCGCATGAATATATATTTTTTTTAAAAAAGCTCATTTCACAACTTAAGTATCATTTATAGAACAAGTTTTCTTTTTGTGATATCAAACCATGGCCCATGGCACTTATAGATCTCAAAGCGTTCCAAAGGGATTGGTGGAGGTCTTGAAATGGCCCGCGGAGCAAAAAGTTTGGTGAATCCTAATGAATCCTTGATATGAGAGATGACCGATGATCGATCTTGATATAAACAAAGTTATCCTTAGTTGATCATTTCCAACTGTTTGTTTATCTAATGTACTTTTTCTAAAACGATATTAGAACGTAGAAACAAAATATATGTTTTTAGAAATATGCTGAAGGATGGGTGGGTATAAGAAAGTTAAAAATTTATTATAATACTTCAAAATTTAGCGACCTAAATTGATCGGGTGCTCAAACTTTAATTTTCAGAATGAACCCTGACGATAGATTCCATGATATATAACTAAATCCACATAATTATATTCAGCCCTGTTGTTTTTATACCCAAGTAAACAATTCACGGTTATAATGATTGCCTCCTTGCCTGTTCTGACGAGTTTTTATTATGCTATTATTTTCTCGTTACTATATTTTGAGGAAGTTAGTAATAATTGCGACTTCAGTATGACTACACCAAGGCTGAATGCATGCAATTCAAGTCAACTAGAGAGGAACGCCATAATTCAGTGTTAAAAATGTTGGATTTAAAAAAGGAAAGAATAGAGTTCTTTAATTTTAATGTAAAAATTGAATGGTGATGATGAATTGTTTGGTGCTTACAAATAGTTCTCCCCGATAGAATTACAGCAGCATATGAATTCAATGATAGTCCAGAATACTCGGCATTCGAAATAAATTCCGACGACATTCATGAGAGGTCTCAAGATGAACGTATTTCTGCAACTTGTTTTGCACTAACGGCAAAAAAAGTCAAAATTGCTTTATGCAATCATCTATAGACCATAGTTGATAGAGACAGGCGATTTTCGTAATTTTTTTTTTTAGTTTAATCTTGGCCACTTGGCAGCCCAAGCTGCAAGAAATATTACCACGGCGTTCTGGAAGGGTGTTATAAAGAACGACCATTCGCGGGTGGATTGAAAAACTTTTTCATCCAAAAAATTATTCTGTGTGATAGTCAATGGTATGAATAATCCATTTATCCTTTCTATCCAGAGGTGAAACAATCACGACTGCATCTCATTGCAGTGGTATTGACATAATGCATAAAAGCCTGTCAAAAACAACCTGCATTGGTTAATCGGAAGGGACCGATCCTCTTACACGACATAGCTGGAGACCTCATGTTCCAAAACAGAGAGTGAAGAAAGTAAACGAGCTGGGTTACGAAGAAAAAAAAAATCTATTTTAACATATAATTGAAAACCATATAAACCGAAACTATTTTATAACTTAAAAGAATCTTTAGGTTTTAATCCCAACAGAAGAATGACAACAATAAGGGAACATATTTTTAGGTAAGTAGATAAAAACAATTTTTTTTTAATCCTTTGCAACTATTTCGCTAATTACAGATCTAAATTATGAAGAGAGAGCTACGAGAAAGAAGAAAGAACAATGAGAACGGAAGTTTGCACACATTTCTGCTGCAACAGTTCATTATAAATACTTTAACTCAATAAAAAGGTTACATAACCGAGTATCTAATCAACGCTAATATTTGAGTAAGATCAAAATGCAATTTAAAGAATAATATAATATAACAATAAAAGGATATTATTTATAATAAAAACCATTGCTTAAGATAAGATTGTACAATAAACTATGTAGGAAAAAATCAAGCGCAAACAAATATATGACTATAATGAAACATCTGAGTTCAGTAACGCTTACTAATATTGTTAGTTCTAGTAATATTAAATATGAATGATAGTTTTCTTTTCGTTTGTTTGTTTATTTATAATAATTTCGTTGTTTTTTGTAGTTTTCTTCTCATAAGAATTTCTGTATTATTTTATTCCATTCCAAGTTATATTTCTTCGTTTTATTACAGTTTCTATCTTATATCTTATACAATTTGTTATATATATATATATATATATATATATATATATATATATATATATATTTTTTTTTTTTTTTTTTTTTTTTTTTATTGTATTGTAAATATGGTATAAATGTGCCTGACAGCTCTAATACCCAGTGCCCTTAAGTGTGGTAAAATGTATTACACCTAAAAAAAAAATAAAGTTCTAATAATACTTAACTGAACAATTAGAATTTAATCGTTTTTACTGTTGTCATTTATTGATTCTTACAGGTTCTTGAATTTTATGTACTTTCTGAAGATATGTTGTATTACTAAGTGTTGATAATAATAAAAATTAAAAAAGAAAATCTATCACTGTTAAGTAATCCTAGGTCAGTAATTTCAACTGGGCTTCTGAGACATAACTCCTTTAGACAATTAACTTTCAAGTAATATCAATATTTTGATGTATTTTATTTTAGATTTGGATTTTATTATCCGTCTTCGCGCATGGAAACATGTAAAGGTTTGTATAACCGTCGCTGTTACATCCAAGACATAACCTATCTTACAGATACTTAATATCAGTATCGTATGACTTTTCGTTTTTGAGCTAGACTGTTAACACACAAACACACACACAGACCATTTCGCGGGACTTGATTATTTGGACTCAAGGCACCTCAAAACGTGTATTTTCGTTGAAAACTCAGATTCGAAAATTTACTCGATCGTAATACTTTCGCTTCCTATACATTATATACATTGGATCGAGAAAACTTTGGAATCTCAGTTTTCAACGAAGTTTTGAGGTCCCCTGAGTCCAAATAAGCAAGTCCCACAAAATGGTCTGTGTGTGTTTGTATATTAACAGTCTAGCCCAAAAACGAAAAGTCGTACGGAAGTGAAATTGCATATTTAAGGTTTTTAATGCTTGGGATGTTACAGCAACTTTTTCGTTAAAATCGGCTAACCAGAAGTGGCACTTTATATCATGGACAAAACATATTTTTACAATTTTCTCTAAATTTATTTTGATTAAATTCATTATGTCAGTGTAAAATTAAGAAGTTATATAAATAAAATGTAGATTTTATTCTGATTAATATTCGCTAACAGGGCTTAAATGGCTAATTTTCAATTTTAGCTTCTCCTAAAGTTCCTTTTTTTTTTTTTTATTTAAAACAATTGACCATTTCACATTAACCTCAAATATAAAATATGAATGAATTTGATAATTAACTAAAGGAGAAATAAGATATCGTATCGGAGAATAGTTGTAAATGAGGGACCAAAGGAATACGAGTGCACCCGAAAGATTTGAACACGCTTCCATATGAGCTTAGTATAATAAAGACTCCGACAATATTATGTAAATATACATATGCGATTTTCATAAATGCTATTGTTGGTATTATATTTAATATTTAATTGTATAGATTATAGCGATATAAATATTAAAATTTGTAATGATGAATATACTATAAGCCGTAGAACTAATTCTGGTAGTTGTTAATCAGATTATTACTTATTGTTATAAATATTAAGCAACGATTCTTTAACAAACTAATATAAATGATTTCCAATAAGCTTCTGTTACATAAAGAATATCACTTTATGCAGAAATTTCTAATATATTTATTGCAACTGTCATTTGGAGAATATTACAAGGCCAAAAAGAATCTGAGTAAAAAACCACTACATACT